ATAGAAGAGAAGTGAAATTACCTTGGCCTCCTCTACATAAGGCGAGAACAGTCTAGGTCTGACATATATGCCTGCATTCTTCTGCCGCAGCCATGAGTTCGATTTGCCCACATCTGAAGTCGGCAGCATGTCTGCTGGGGGAGTGCTGATCAGACCTCTCTTCATCTGAAAGCAACAATAAAAGCAGACCTTGTCAATCTTGTTCATTCTGCTTTGGAAAGTAAGCACAGGGTGTGGAATATTACTGGTGGTATAAAAAAGCCGGGCGACAAGAACTCTATTTCAGGAGGGAGAGAGAGCGGGAGAGGGAATGAACTCTTCTTGGGGGTTAAAGTGTAGTGAAAACATGGTGTGTGTGGGGGACCTGGTTGTGATCCCAGGCTGCTGCCTCATTGAATGGTCTATTCTTGGTAGTGGTGCTCAAAGTGCCTAGAACAGTCACCTAGGTTGGCGATTTGTTTAAAAGTTTATTGGTTAAGAACTTCATATACAAACCAACACGTTTCAGGGAAAGGTGGCACATGATTTCAGAGGCATTTGCAGAAAGATGAAACCAGGAGACTGACTGTCTGAGCAGCATGAAGGTGACCCAAAACAGCGGCTCCTGAAAACACCCCCCCCCCAGGAATGCAGACTGTGCACTGACCATAAAGTGACACTAATAATTATGCTATATGGTTAAAGTGAAATACGATTATTTTTATACAGCGTACATTTTAATGTGCTCCAGGTGCAAAGTCCGTTTTAATGCAGGACATTCCAGTTAACCTGAACCAAACTGCAGACCTGTTCACACTTGACATTGGAAAACTAATGGTCAATAAAAGCCCACATGCTTTCAGTATGCCCTCTCTGTGGGTCAGGTAGGGCTGCAACTAGTTGGCCGATTATTTTTTCGATTAAGCCGATCAAAACATTTTTTTTTTTTTTTTATTCTCCTTCAGGTCCGCTCCCCTGCTGATTGACAGAAGGCAGTGGGTGGATGAAATAGCCAGCCTGCTATTGCAATTTAAAATAGCTATATTGGCCAATGTAGAGTCACAGCGGCGTTGCCCGACAGCCGGCCTCTCCTCCCTGCTGGTGGTGGCTGCAGCGGTCTGTGTCTCCTCTGATCCCCGCTGCCTCTGCTTATGGGGAGAGCAGCGGGGTTTGGAGGGGACACAAACCCCAGCATGCAGCGGGCTCCCAGCAGGGAGGAGAGAACTGGGGGATCCATGCCAACTAATCTATAAATGAGAAAGTTGACAACGATTCTCATTATCGATTAAGCCTCATTCACACTGCTAAGAGCCGGCCTGTACAGATCTGTGCGGCGTGCACTGCCGTATCGGGCTGCTCGCAGGAAGGACAGGTGGTGCGTGTGATTGTACGCAGCAGCCTGTTCTTCTCCATGGGAGTACACGGCCACACTCTCACCCATGCGGGTGTCCGTACTCATACGCAGACAGGATGGATTCTGTCTGTGTCTGAGCACGGACGCCTGCAACCGCACGGATGTGCAGTTCGGGTGAGCAAATGGCCGTGTACTCCCATAGAGAAGAACAGGCTGCTGCGTACAATCACATGCAGCAGTGGTCCTTCCCGGGAACGGCCCGATATGGCTGTGCACGCCGCACGGATCTGTACGGGCCAGTTCTTATTGTGAACGAGGCCTTAGTCGGTTGCAGGCCTAGGGTCAAGAGCACATATTTTCAAATTAGCACAGCTTTTGATAAATACTTTTTAAAATTAGCAATATAGCATCAGTATTACGGTAATACTATGGAAAACAAAGCATGCCTACAGCAGGTATTTCCAACGGCCAAAGATACGCAACAGTGCCGGCAAACATCCTCACTCTGGTCTTGGCAAGTAAAAGGTCAACTGGCTAAAAGTCGGTCTTATCTCCCTTCTGGTTCCCAATACCTGGGCCCTTTCTACTCCTTGGCCAATATATAATACTTTCAATGGGAAATAAGCTCCCTGGCAGCTACTGGCCACTAGAGGGGGTATGGTGACCGAAGCGCTGCATCAGAAGTCTCCACTATTCCAAGCTTTGGCAGCGGTTTTGTAGCAAGCGGCACTTTAATTATATGCTGGATCTCTTGGGGCTTCTTCAGACAATTCTTTGTTTGAAATCTCTGCTGGTGTCTTTGAACACTTGTCTTATCTATGGTACCAAGGTGCCTGGTAGCCTGAACTGCCTTGAAGCTGTTTGGCTGAACTCTGTGTCCTGTACTATTTTTAGCTTTTTTTTGCCCTCCTCTTCTTTCTTATCTTTATGCAGATTCCATAGCATGAGCCAAGAGTGCATGTTTATGGCCAAGGAGAGTGAGAAAAGGGAGACAAAGACCACTTTTTTCCCCTTTATTAAAAAAAAAAGGACAGGCAGACGGGATGAACCACTTGGTCTTTTCCTGCCATTGCTCTACCTTTAAAAGCTTGGTTATCCTGCAGGGCTATGACATTTCCTGCAATGCATTTCACACCCTCATCTTCAAATTCTGTGCTGTACTGTTCAGTTACTTATCAAATCTGGTGACTAGTCTTTTGCGCAGTGGTAACAAATCCTAACTGCACTGTTATCTGGAGTCAGACGCCACATTCCTCTCTCTAGAGCTGCAACAGTTATTCGATTAAGTCGATTAAAATCGAAGATGGAAAACGTTGTCAACGTTTTCCATCGTCGATTCGTCGGCTAAAATTAAAAGTTCCCGCTCGCCGCTGCACGCCGCTTACGCCCGCTGTTTACGCCACTTACGCCCGCTGCTTACGCCACGCCCACGTCGTTTAAGCCGCTCGCGCCTACGCCGGTATACCCGCTCACGCGACGCCGCTTACGCCACGCTGAGGACATGTGTCTGGCCCTCTCATCCCGGTGAGCTGCCCGATTCGCCGCTGCCCGCCGACATGATCAACGCCGCTGCCCGCCGACAACACCAAGGTAAGTGGAGATCGGCCGGGAGCTTTT